TATGATAAGGTGGTGGTAGGGGATTATGATCTCCCAGGGGAAGCAGGAGGGGGTTTTCCTGTCAAATTGGGGGTGGCTCTAGGGGAAACAGGTTTTCAGGTCTTGCCTAGGTGGCTGTCAAGCCTCAGACATTTCCAAGCCCTTGGTCCCACCCAGTAGGTACCTGTAAGAGTCACTTGGGACCACTATTAAGAACTTCTAGTTGTTCCGAAAAGGCTAGGTTGACAAATGTGGTTTCCTTAGACATCCTTTTCGCTGTAGAAAGTACCAAATAATGCAGGAAAAAAGCACAGTGTTGAGGGATCCCATCTTGGAGAGTTCCTCTTTGGGACACCCTAAGCATCTCTACAGGTCTGCAGCAGCTAGCCAGTTCCTTTCCAACTAGCAGGTCATGAAAGCAGTGTCCAGTGTGCTCAACTAGGCAAGCCTTTGTTAGCCTCAGCTGGCTACTACAGGTGATTGCAGTAAACACTGCTGATTACTTGAAAATATTTTTACTCAGATTTGGACCGGCCTCTGTCCCTGACCCCTAAGTGGACAGAGACCGTACTGTGCAGGAACAACGGCAGCCCACTTGGTACGCCCAAACCCAGCCTCTTGGATGTCACCACTAGAGGCAGAGATGACGGGAGGGGATGCAAGAAAGGCCCACGGTACGGGCCAGTTTAGGATCTGCTTACAACACCGCAGAGCTACATCTCCACTAAGATGCCCCACATCCTTCACACCTGCCGGCAGCCTCCTGAGGAGGTCAGCACAGACCTGGACTTGCTCAGAGTTGGCTGGTCTCTCCGATCCCTGGAGTTGGTGAGGCCCCTCCCCTTTCAGCCCTTCCCTCAGAGGTGGACTGGATACAGGAGGAGAAGAGCTGGACGTGACTCCCTAGTCTTCAGGCCTGGGCACCGGCATATCTGTCAATGTCTCATTGCTATGGTAATGCCCTGTAATTAAATCAGAGGGTTCAGGGACCAAAAGTCCTTGGGGGAGGTGGCTGGAGGCCTTGGGATATCTGCAGGAGCCTATTTTGGGGGCCTTTTCAGCATACATGAAAGACCCAGGGCTTGTGGATGCGGAGGAGAAGCCATCTGGCTCGAATGGGCTTCTACTATAAAGCACCCCCTGAGTAGTCACAGGCCCTCACCCTCTCCTTTCAAGGTTGGAGAAGAATTCTGATGTCTGTACCCTAAATTCCTCCAGCTAATCAGGGGCTTTGAGCCAACAGACAAGACTGGGAGACTCCCAGCCTCCTTCAGAAACATTTCTTGGCCTTTATTGCCCTCTCCTCCCCCAGGGGCAAGCCAAAGGCTAAGTGTTTTATGGAGGGAAGTGTAGTTGCCTTGGAAGGGGTTGTTAACTACAGGAAAGAGGCGGTCCCTGGAGGTCCTCAGGACTCCCCAGTTGGAGGAGGTTTCCCAGGGTCTGCACTCTGGCTGTTAAGACCACTTTGCTGTCCACCATGGAGGTGGGCAAGAAGACCAAGGTGCTGAGAGGTGACACCCTCTTTCCCAAGCTGAGCCCACACTGCTCTCCTTGGCGCCCAGAGGCCCTGCCCTGCTGCTCAGCTGTGCACTTAGGCTCCCTGGCCTCCAGACCTCTGAGCAGACTTATTCCAGGAGGGGACCGGCACCTGCAGCCTTGGACATTTACCCTTGGGCAGCACCCACAGCTCCTTTGGGCCTTATTAAAGCTTCCACCAGAGCTGCAATTTCTAAGCATCAAGGCAAGTTTCTCCCAGGGATTTGAATGAAACTGCTTGCTAGGGTCCTTGTCCACAGCTCCCCGGTGTTCACATGTTTTCTACCCCGACAAGGTGGGATTCTCTACTAGGACTCAGCAGTCTGCTCTCCTTTCTGAGCTGCCTGAGGCTCAGCTCTCTCAGGGGCTCTAGACTCTAAAACAATAAGCTGAGAGTATGGTCTTCATTCTTTGCCTCTTTTTTATGTCTGTTACCCCACAATTTGCTGTGGTGAGGAAGCAGCCCTGGGAATCTGCATCTGTGCTAAAGATGAAACTGTTACTTCTCGTTGATTTGCTTAGAATATCAAACATGCTTATTTTACAGTTGCTTTTAGATTATTCTGCGATCTCTGATTCTTGGGGTTGTTAATTGTCCTACATATTGCTTCTGCTAACTCTTCTTCATGACGGTTCCTAGTTACACGAAATGTGTAACCTTTAAGGTAAGTTCATCTTTAATGGTGGTCCTGTGGATTGCTTGTGGCCTGGATTGTAGACGGTCTCTACAGAGAAGGTTTGGTACTGTTCGGGGGCGGGGAGGCTGAGTGGGTCACTGTCTTGGTCAATTGCTGTGTAAATTCCTGACTTGGGCTTCCCGCAACACACTTGCGGTGTGAATGTGGACTCTGATTCCAGGTTAAGCCAGAGGTCTTCATTTCTCTTGCTGTCTGGGCCAGTGGAATGAGCCTGTGTGCTTCCGGTTCCTTGGAGGTGTGGACCCTGGTTTTATGCAGGGAAGTACTCAGTCTATCTTCCTTCCTTTCGTGAGCTCAGGCCATCTTGTCTGGTGTCTCTCACGTGCTCCTCTGGCTCTGACTTTGCCTTTATTTCTTGTAGGAGAGGGGGAGGTTTGGCTATGTATCGACAACTTTTGCTGTTCTATTTTATCCAGCTACATTTGCTACAGTTAGCCTGCCTTGTTTCTGGACGCCAATCTCCTACCCCTCATTACCTCTGCACACCGAAGCGAGGGTGGCCCTTGCAGCACTTGCCAGTGCCCACTAGAGGCCAGTGATGCCCGCTCTGTGCCCGGCTCTGGGACAGGTGTGTCCTGGCTTCTAAAGAGAGCACAGGCTGTGCAATCCCTGACTTCTTCAGTTCTCACTTGACCCATCTGGCCTCTGGCATAGGGAGCCTGCCCTCTCCTCAGGCTGGTCTTTCATCAAGCCAAAGAACTCTCCAAAGCATCTCCAGTGACTTTGGGGATCCTGAAGTCAGTCTCACTTTCTCCACCCAGATCAGTGTCACCCAGGGGCTCTGCAGGCTCCCCAGTAGCTGCAGCCCGGCTAGGCCCAGGGAGGGGGGCAAGGTGAGGGAGCCACGCGAGGAGGGACTGTTGTTTCTCCCAGTGATGGGCATTTCAGGAATGCAGACTCCAGCATACAGCTGCTGCCAGAGCCTGCACTGTCCAGGCCATGACCAGAGAGCCCTGGAGCTGCTGAGGGGTTGGTGATGGGCCCCTGTGGGTCCACAGGAGAGGTACAAAGGTGCTGAGAGGCAGCCGCAGAAGCCAACCTGAGAAAACCGGGGGACCCGAGTACCCCGGCCCATTCTCTCGTCTGGAGGGTTCCTTTCTCCTTATCACGTAAGGAGGGACTCGGCTCCGTTCCAGACCAGCAGCCTAGAGCAGTGGGCTGGAGAGAAGAGATGCCACGGAGCTGGAGCAGCCCAGTGGCAGAAGGGAGAGTGGGTGATAAATTTAAATAACCAGCTTGACTTGGCAGGTTGCTGAGTTGTGATGCAGTGAAATTAAAAATCTCGGCAAACTTGCAAACACCACCAAGAATAATCTGTGTCTCGCTTTGGTTCCATGGAAGAAGGGGGTGTGGGGAGGCTCTGGGGCTGAGCCTTGGCCTCTGGCAGCCACCCTTGCTTTCAGTATGATTAGCTGTGTCCTGGCCCGCTGGCCCCCGCTCCCCTCTCCACACAATAGCCCCGGCGCCTCTCTCCTCTCAGTCCTGACCTTGTGGAACAGCTGCATCAAGTGGCTGGTGAAGTTTGAAATCAGCCTCCAGTGCCAGGAGATGGCAGGAATATTAATAAGGTCTGGCTCTGCAAGGTGGGCTAGGGCCTCCTCGGACAGCTTCTTCAGGACCCGCCCTGCAGGGGTAAAGCCTCTGGGGCCTGTCCCTGGGGAGGAGCTGGGCTGGGTGTCTACCATGTGGGGATGAAAAGAGTTCCTGTTATGTGTGGCATCCCAAGCCACACTGCTGGCAAGGGGTGACCTTGCTGTCCTCCCATTCTTACGGCCACCTGCCCACAGTCACCTACCTACCAGGAAAGACCTCCTCTTTTCTTTCTCCACCAAAGTTCTTGACGTTCTCCAACGAAACAAGTTGCTAATGCATCTTGGGGAATCTCTACAAACACTCCAAAGCGGCTCCAGACCTCAGCTAAGCTTGGAACCTAGTTTTCTCAGATGCCAACATTGCTCCAGAAGAATACCCGCAAAGTCCATCTCTCCTGGATGTTCCTATGTCCTGTGCGTTGGTACCCAGAGTGCTAGGGGCCCTATGAAGACTGCAGGCAGGGCCCGTTTCTCACCTTGACAGTACCTCCAGCAAATTTGGTTTGTCCCCAAGATAAAGTCAGGAATCATTCATCTTTAATAGATTATGCAAATTAGGAGGACATAAAATCAACAACGATCAATAGCTGTGGCCGTTTAATTGCCAGCAAAAACATTTTAAGAGTGAGCATAATCTGCAGCCCTTTCTCGGGTAATGGCACTATTAATCCGAACATTAGATCTCGGCCCTAACTGAGGAAAACCTGTTCCTTACCCCTCCCCTCCCCCACCCCTCCACACACTTCTCTCTTTTTGGTAATTTCCAGTTTCTGAGCGAGTTTCCCCGTCATTACCACTGGTGAACAGCTCCGAATGTTAATGGTTCTGCTTTTGTTACTCCTCGCTTGATTGAAATGTCGCATACAGATTGAGATGTTAGTGCTAACTTGCCACCTGGGAATGTCAAGCTGGGTCTGAAATGAACTTTTCTCACACTTGGATCCAGATGGATCAGCCGGAGATGTTCCCAGGCTGAGCTGGGACCGTTCCAGGGCCATGGGGCGGGGGGAGGCGGGTGGGGGCTGCCCAAGGTGGAGGCACTTTTGTATGGCAGCCCCAGTGTGCTCTGCGGCAGGGGCCCTCACCCAAGGCTCCACATCGCCACCCCCAGGAAGTCCTTGCCTGTGGATGTGGGCTGGAGCACCAGGCAGTACCACGGAACTGGAGAGAAGTTTCTTGTGCTCTCTCTAACCAGGTGCCTGGAAGTGACCACTGGGCCTCTCCACAGACGAGGCCTGGGGGCCTGGCCTGGTCCAAGAGCTCTGAGGACAGCTACAGGGTGCTCCTGTCCAAGGCCAATTGATCTAGGCTGTGTCCCACACAAAGGCATCGCTCCCAAGCCCAGTCAGCTCTCCAGCGCTTCCAGAACTCAGCTCCAGGGTCCCTGCCAAAGACTGGCCCTCTCTGTCTGCCAACTCCGTCCTCAGGAGCACGGGCTCCCTTCCCCACTAGGAGGCTGGTGCTTACTCCAAGCCCATCCCAGCCTGAGCCGTGTCCAGATCAGCTCCAGGTCACAACCAGCCCTGTCCTGTGCCGCCCTGTCCTGTGCGGCCCTGCCCGCTCCCTGTCTTTGGCGCTGGCTGTGTTGCTGACCGGCTGTGGTCCTGCTGCCAGGTCCCCAGGCTGCCTCTGCTCATGCCGCAGTGATGCCTCAGTGTCTCCCAATCCCCACAGAGACCCTTCTCAATCATCCTGCCTCCCAAGGAACAAACACCACGTTGGCTTAATGTCTCCAGAATTAGGTGAATCTTAGCAACACCTTGATGTGTGTCTCCCTCTTGGGCAATCTCCTGGCCTGGAAACCCTTCTACGGCGCCTTCTGCAGCCTGCAGCTCTGTGACCATGAGCCCTTCCTGCATAGCTACTCCAGCTGCCCCAGCGACTCTTGACTCATGGGAGCTCCTGGGCATCGGAGCTGCTACATTTGACCCTAGCTGGCCTTGAAACCCAGCCTTGGTCTAACGACTTCTAGCAGCAAGAAGAGGCTGCAGCGACTGTGCTCCAGCAGAGAGCCAGTGCCAAGACCTCAAGCCCAAAGCCACAGTCACCTCTGCTGCCCAGAGTGAGAGGAAAGGGTTCCCCGGGAGCCTTGGGGTGTCGGCGCACGAGGGTGGACACTGGCCTCCCGGCCTACTTGCCCTCTGCATTCTTTGGCACCCGTCGTAACTAACGGCACATCAGGGAGGGAAGCCAAAAGGCAGAGGACAAGCAGGAGGACAGGCAACGGCCAGACAGCTCCCCAGCTTCCACCTTTCCAGGCTGAAGCTCAGATCCTCTGTCCCCAGTGTTTTCTTCCCACATCCATTCACGAAGTACCCTGGATTTTAGAGGCCCACTCTCAATCTCTCTCTGCAGATGTCACGGCAGGCAGGGGCCTGCTTGTCACACCGGGCCCCAGATGGCACAGCTGAGGTCAACTGACTGCAGGCGGTGACCCCACCCTCCTGGCAGCCCCCTTACCGGTCACGACAGGGTACGTCTGTGTGCCTGACACGTTGCTGCCCAGATCCGGGTTGGTGGATGCAGACAGACCTGATTTGACTTCATCAAGCCCAGGGGTCAGTGCTGGGAGGGAGTACTCATTCCCCTGTGAGGGCAGAGAAAAGAGAGCTCTCTGTCAATGTGCACACAGAGAAAGGGCTTGGTGTGCAGATGGAGAGGAGGAACAGGGCGGTCCGGACGGGGTGGGGTGGAAGGGGGCGATCGGGAGAGACAGGGTTTTGTGCATGCAGGGCAGACCTGATGTGGTGAGGCAGAGATGCAGTTTACACGTCGTGGAGTCCCCAGGACCTGTACCTGTCTGTAGCACCTCCTGCCTAAGCAGCTCCAGGGGAGCCTAGCCCTGGAGCTCCTCTTGTGAGAGGTGCTGGGTATTCAGGTGTCCTCGGGATGGGGAGCCCTCTGGGGGGTTGGACGTCACTAAGGTGGCAGAGGCAGTAGCTGGGGGAAGGGCCTATGGGGCCTCCAGCCTGGCACGGCTGGGCTGGCTGATCGGGTATGAGCGCCCCCTTTATAAAACAAACAAAGAGAGCCTCACGGGCCCCTCGCTCTCTGCCTGTGCACTGGGGTATGAAATTGGGGAGGGGGAGAGTCCACATGGCTAACAGAAGGGTGGGAGGGGGCCAGTCATTGACTCTGAAAGGGTGTCCTGCCCGAAACACTCCGGTAATTGCCTTTTTATTGCAGCCACCGCCAAGCCAGACCCCGGAGCCGGGCAGGCCAGGAGCCTACATAAAGCAGGAAAAGTTGCTCTGATTAATATTACCTTAAATTAAAACTGATTTTCTGCTCTTTCGGGTCCGTTTTTTTCCCTTCCGCTTCCTGGCCCCCCCAGAGGACCCCTCCCCTCCCTGGCTGGATGGGATTGCCTCGTCATTTCCAATTCCTTCTCGTATTGATCTTCCTGTAGAAATCAGTTTTGTAATTAGCTGCAAATTAGGCCTTCTACTGGGGGTGAAGCTGCCCCCTGATTTATCACCAGAGTAATTCGCTGTGATCGGAGAGAAATTAAAATGAACTCAATTAGGCTTTGGATTTGCTTTATGGGCCCTGCTCTGAGTTTCAGGGGGAAAAATGACTGTGCTGGTGTTTAATAGTCTAATGAAAGTAAATAAAGGTTATTCATTGTAATACAGCCAGGGACTCGGGAGGGTGCACTGAGCCGCCCGCCTCGGCCAGCTCCTCCTTTGTTGGTTTATGGCTCAGGGCACCTTAAAAAGACTTTTGATTTTTGTTTTATGAAGACAAACAGCTTATGGGATAAAAGGACGGGCGGGGAGAGAGACAGTGGCTAGGAGCTGCTGAGTCTCAGAGCAGAGCTGTGCTGTGTGGAGCCTGAGGGGCCTCGCCGGTGTGCACGTGTGTGCATGCGCTGAGCTGCAGGTGAGCATGGCCAAGGCCACGTGCATGGGGGACGGCAGTGCTCCCGGGGCGGTGTGTGGGGGCCGCCCTGGTGGCAGTGGACGCAGGTCCTGGAGCGGTGCTGACCCGGGCAGCGCACCCTCCTGGCTTCATGGAGAGGCTGGGCGCGGTGGTGAGGGTTGTGGGGTGGTGACCGGGTGTGGAAGGCGAGCGGCTGCAAACACGCTCCTGCGGTGTGCGGAAGTCTGGTCACACTCATGGCCAGGTGGAGGGAGGGGCAGGGGCAGGCAGGGCAGCCTGTTCTGAGGCTGCGTGGGAGGAGCACCCCACGCACACTCTGCAGGATGGGATGTGGCAGGAGGACATCCCCAGGTGGTCAGAATGGCAGAGTGCGAAGGGACCTGACGACCTGGGTCCGAAGCCTTTCTAGAGACCCGAGGCTCCAGAAGCCTGGCTTATCCTCGCCGTCCCCTTGCCCCCAGAACTCACGTCTAATTCTGGTTGCCACAGTACTTTTGCAGAACTGTAGGCCTGGCACGAGCATGCGTCGCGCACCGACACCCAGCACCAGCGGGGGCTGTGTGTGTCCTCGGCTGCGGGAGGCCTCCTCTCCCCACCCCTCACTGCTGAGCAGGGCCTCCGCCTCACCTGTTCTGATTTGATGTGCTCTGATGCCTGGAAGACATCAGGGTAGGACGGGCGCTCAAAGACTCGATCCAGAGCCTCCAGCTGCTGCTGGGTGAAGGTGTCAGCTCGCAAGTGCTTCCTCAAACTGTCCACACCACTCTGGGAGTCGCCATTGGGGACTGAGCCCTCTGACACATCTGGGGAGCACATGGACACCCGGGCATTAGCAGAGGTGCGAAGAGGGAACAGAGGGAGGGGTCTGGCTCTGGCCTCTGCCTGGACCCCCTCCTTGAAGCTGCAGGCTGCCTCGGAGAGTTGGCTGGGAAGCCAGAGCCCTGAAGGAGCCAGCCAGGGGAGGAAGGGGCACAGTGTGGGGCAGGAAGCCTGAGAAGAGGTGGAGCCAGACAACTCCCTGGGGCTGCCTCCAAGGAGCTGTCTCCCAGGTCCACTGCAGCCCAGGCTGGATGAGCCAGCCTGGACGAGGGGCTGGGCTCCCAGCCTGCAGAGGACAGGATGTGGCTCCAAGCTGAGAATCATCAGCCCATGGGGTGAGTGCAGTAATTAACTGTCCCCTGGCAGTGGGGAGGGCTTGTCTCAGAGGTGGGCTGAGAGCACCCATGTGGCACACGGCAGGGAGCCCTGCTCCCCGGATCTCTGGCTCAGGCCTCTGTGCTGAGCCCACTGCTCTGTCCCCTGCCCCTGCTGTGGGTTTCCGTAAGGAGCTGAGCCCTGCACTGGGAAGCATGGGCCTGGCGGTGCCCTGCTAGTGCCCACTCCCTTGGGCTGCTGCCAACCCTGTCTCGAGGTCAGGCTCTGTCCTGGCACCCTCTCTACACCGCTACCCCTGCTCGCATCTCACCGACTCCCAGCTTCAGGGCCCTTGGAGCCTCAGAGAGTATGGGAGGCAAAGAGCCAGGTGCTGCCTCTCCCGGAGCCCTTACCCTGCCGCGCTCCGGCCCCAGCCCCAGCGCGTCACTCCTTGGCTTCCCTCAGCCCAAAACCAGCTGGCGAGCCTTGGGCCCGGGGCAGCCATGCTGCAGCCAGTGCTCCTCTGGGACTGTTATATATATCAGTTTATAGGTGATTATACGATATGATATAATCAATATTGCATTATATACAGTAACACCATACAGTATCATTTGGGAGACCATAGAAAATATTACATATTGATTAACCTCATCCTGCAGCCATCCACCCTCGTGGGCCTCCCGGGTAGAGCACAGGGCTCTGCTTTCCTCAAGAGACTCTGTTTCTCTCCCATACTCTGCAAAGGCAGGGAGGTGAAGCAAGTGTGTGTGTGGTGGGGCAGGGTCAAGTCTGAGGCGGGAGCAGGTGGTCTGAGAGGTAGCCTCCAGGAAGTCGTGCATTCCTGTGGACACGGAACCAGGTGCCAGTGTAAAGTTCCGGAATACTTTCCAGTCTTAGGGTGTAGGCATCCTGTAGTGAGGTCCCTGCCGGCGAGATACTGGGGTATGGTGCATTTTTTTCCTCTTGTGTGAGTGCTCTCACACAAGGGACCGCGTGTGCTTGTATGACAGAGCAGGAACCTTTCTGAAAGGGCATGTCCGTGTGTATGACTGCACGCTGGCTGGGGCCTGTGTCCCCAAGCTTCTTGTGACTGCTTCTCTCTCCAGGATGTGTCACCCTGATTTCACTCCTGGTAGCTCTCGAGCCTCTCTTCCTGCAGCCCTTACTTCTTAGGGAAGCCCTGTTATTAGGGCTGGGGGAGGCATCCGGGGTCTTTGTGCACGGTCACTGAATGTCACCAAATGGGTCCTGGGAGGGAATGTGCATTTGTCTGTAGATGGGTGTTCATACACGCCGGTCCCGGTATGTGAATGCATTTGCGTGGCGGGCTCCCATCATGCCTCTGTGCGTGTGTGTGTGTGTGTGTGTGTGTGTGTGTGCGCGCGCGCGCCCGCGCGCCCGCGCACGTGGGGGGGCTGAACTGAGGCTTTGTCCTCAGGTCACTGGCTGGAGGAGTCTCTTTGCCTTCATTTATTCAGGGGCCCTTCAGATCTTGACAAATCTGTCACTCTAAATTTGCGAGAGATTATGGTGCTCTCTCCCCAGACCGCAGAGAGGTGATATATGATATCTGCTGCCCCTATTGATTGCCTGATCTGGTGGCAGAGGCCGGCGAAATGAACTTGAAATGAACATCATGCCTCAACTCATTGTGCGTATAATACACTACTTAATCCCACATTTTTCAGCCGCTATGGAATTCAATTGATCAATCATGTTCCACTGATAGTACTGTTTTAGGGGTTATTGCTCCTCCCTCCACTCGCTGACCTTTTTATTTATTTATTTTTTTGTACACTCGGCCCTGGTGGTGAGCCAGGTTCCAGAGGCAGCCTGGAGAGGAGGGCGGGAGGAAGCCTGCTACTGGAAGCCCTGGCCGCGGGAGGCGGAGACTGGGAGGGGAGACAGAGGAAGGGGGTGCGGACAGCCAGAACCTCCCAGGTAGGAGGAGGGCTGAGGAGCTCCCGGAGGGCAAGGAAGGCTGTGGACCACGGTCACAGGTCACACCCACCACAGAGGTCAGAGGACCACAGAGCAGGGTACAGGGGCAGAAGGGGGCAGGGTGCTAGTGGTGGGGACAGGAAAGCACCCCTTCCCCAGACTCTGCAGCCACAGGTCTCACAGGCTGCCCCTTGTCTCTCGCCAGAGGAGGGGTGGTGAGGGGAGAGGGCAGGCCGGAAAGAGGGGGTTTGTCAGAGGTTCTGGGTGGGAAGGGGCCAGGAGAAACTTCTGGAAGGAGGAAGCCAGGGAGCAGAGGAAAGGCAAACACGGAGCCGAGGAGCCAGGCAGGCATTGACGTCCCGTGGACAGGGGTCATAGCTGACACCTCTCTGTAACTCCAGGGCCAGGCATGGCACACAGGGGTTGTCCAATAAGCGACTGATGAGTGAACAAGACTCTCCTCAGTGGGTTCATAATCAGACCCCAGGCGGAGATTTTGGAACTTTGTACCAGATCGGCCTAGACCTCGACCTCTCGTCAGGTGGGTCTCTAACAGCGCCCTGTGTCCCTGGACGCCCTTCTCATCTTAAGCAACCCCATCCTGCCCACCTTTGGGGCCTCAAGTCAACAAACACAGGTGGCTGTATTCCCGCTGAGGATGGGACCCAGACCTTGAGCCGCACAGCTGCCATCCCAACCAGATGGCGGAGGCTTCTCGGGGACGGGGCCCACAGTCCCTGAGGTTCTGGTCTTTCTGCAACAATTCCCATTCCCAGTATGCTTTCCCGTGCTCAGGCCATGCTGCCAGGTTGAGTTCTGAAGTCGTGGCTGCCGTACGCATAGTAAGGGTGACTGCCACCCAGGGACGGGACAGCTGGGTGCCAGTCTAGCAGTCTTATCTCCGGAGGACCCTGCTCTGCTCGCCTCTGCCCCCTGCCCAGCTACCCGGGTGGCATACAAGTATTAAGAGCGCCTTACACGCCACTGCTATACTTCTGATTTCATTTAAGCCTTCCGACAACTCTACGAGGTAAGTACAGATACCCAGTTTAAGATAAGAAAACGGAGGCAGAGAGTTTGAGGAGCTTATCCAAGGCTGTGCAGCTAGTGAGTGAGAGCCCGAAGTGGAACCCAGGTCTGCCTGCCTCCAGAGACTCCTAATTTACTTCACCGTGCTGCCGAGGGGCACCCCCCAGATCTCTGCCTTACACCCTCCCTGGTGGCAGCGGAACCCCAAGGCACAGGCGCTGCTGTGTGAAGCCGCCCCCATGGCTCTGGGAAGTCTGGTGCAGATTCTCCCTGTGACAGGGGATACTAGCTGGCTGGGTGGAGAGGAGGGTGAGCTCCTTGGCCTGGGGTCACAGGGTGGCACCACTCAGGATGAGGCCACCGCACAGGCTGTGTCCACTGCAGTCTACACTCGAGAAGGACAAGTCCCACAAGCCCTTTTCTGGAACAGAAGAGGACATCCGCTCATCAAACAAACTTTAACATATATTCTCTCAAGGGAAATAAAGCTCATGTCTTCCCTACCTACTTCATGTCTGCGTAATGCCCAACATGAAGGTTTCGTAGTTCTGAGGTCACCTGGGTTTCCCAGCCACTGTCCGAGGGAAGCTGGAGTTAAGATGCCCTGCACTGGAGAGGACACAGGCTTAGAGCCACTGAGGTGTGGGGACTGGCTGTAAAATACTCAGTAAACAGCTGTGGACTGAGCCAAAGGACAGTGGCACTACCCACTCAGCCCACCTCCAGGGGCTGGGGCCCCGGCTACTGTGCAAACAGGAGCCCTAAAAGCAAGGGCCATCTTGACTGGAAAGACAGCCACCAACATGGTGACTGTGGTTACTTCCCAGTTGTAGGTGATTTTTATTTTCTCCAAGTCTTTCCATATTGCCCAGGCTTTGTGCAGCACAAATGTGCTACTTACAGAGTCACTATTAAAAATGCCTAAGGGTTGGTGGAACACAGTGATATGATGCATGCTTGGCACACTGAAAGCCTGGGGTTCAATTCCTAGCATCCTTAACAAAAAGAAAAGGAACACAAAAGCCTTTTTCTCCTGAGCAGAAAGATCTCATCTTGCTCCCTCAGCTCTGCTGCTCCCTCAGCCCCGCTGCCCTCCATCGGCCCCTGGGGCAGAGCCTCGCCACACATCCCTCACCCCAGGCAGAGCCCCTGCACCTCTGTCCTGAAGGTCTAAGCTCAGGAGCCTGGGGAGGCGAGGTCAGTGGACGCCACATCTGGAGTCCAGGCTAGGCACCAGGGACAGCAGTGCGTTCTTTCTCATGTGTCTGCATTCTAGCTCAACTCCCAGAGTGGTCCCTGCAAAGGTTAAGAGGTACACGGGGATCGTGGAATGTTCAGAAGGTAGACAGGGATGGAGATACAGAAGGAACCGATACTGTTTCCTTGGTCAGAAAACATAAGGCTCTTCAAAGTCTGCAAAATCAGGATGCGACAAGAGAGGGAGTTGGGTTAGGCATCCGAGAAGAATTTTTTTAAATGTGGCAAAAACCTATAATAATTTCTGTGTTCTAAGTCCCAGTACAAATATCCAGATTGCTTCAGTGTTCTAAACCCAAATACAAATATTCACAAATATCCCCAATGTCTATGGAGAAACTGACACTATCAGGGTTTCAACTGCACTTATTAAATCTGTTAACTTTCCGAGGCCCTTTCATTACCATTATCATTATTATTGTTAAGGTTACTGGGGATTAAACCCAGATGTTCACACTGACCCACCCCCTGCCCCGTTTATTATGGAGACAGGGTCTTGCTAAGTCACTAAGTGCCCAGGCTGGGCTTGAACTTGCGATCTTCCTGCCTCAGCCTCCCAGGGTGCTAGGATTACAGGCATATACAGTGCGGTACTTATAAGTACTCTTCTCATTTGTGAGATGAGGAAATAGTCTTGGAGAGGCAAAATTACTTGCTCAACAGCCACAGCTTGGGTCTACACTAAGTGAAGTCCCTCTGTGTTGATTCAGTCTGCCTTCGTCCCATCGCGCCGGCCCCACGGCCACCGTTAGCTGCCCAAGTCCCAGGCAGGCTCGGTACCTCACACGCTGCCCTGCCCAGGCCTCCTGCATCGGAGAGACACCATTAGCTCATTTTGCAAAGGAGACAAGCTCAGGGGCGTGCAAAGCACTTGCAAGATCACACTGCTGGCAGGAAGCAATCTCGGGGAAAGCAAATCTTCAGCCGCACACAGAAAATGACCTAACAAAGTGGTGTGGGAAGGAATGGGAACAGCATGGTGGACGTGGGGACAGGGACTGGGCTGGGGGCTGTGCCACCCCCTCTCGGAAGGCTTCGCCCCTGCTGCCCCCGAGTCTCCGCGGCTGCCCGCTGTTGCAGTTCCAAACTCAATCGTTCTCCCTGGTGCTGAGGCAAATGCAGTCATTAATTACCTTCTATCGGCTGGGCTGCGTTCAGAAGGCGATCGATATCCCCGCTTGTCATGCAGGGCAGCGGTCTGTGCAGCCCCGGCCCCGCCCCCACCCCCACACGCAGCAGCGGCCAGGCTGCAGGTCTGGGCTGCCACCCTGGCCTCTGGCTGGTTGGGGACGGGGTGAGGCTCTGGATGCTGAGAGGTGAACGGGCTCGGGTGCCTTGCAGAGGGGCAAAGGATCACTGATGAGACGGGAAGAGGAAGGGGCAGCAGGTCGCAAGGAGGAAAAAAGAGAGGGCACGAGGGGTAGACGGGAAGAGGAAGGGGCAGCAGGTCGCAAGGAGGAAAAAAGAGAGGGAGCACGAGGGGATGAGGAGGCGGGGACAGGGGAAGGGACGGAGAAAAGATGGGAGGAAGGGGACGTGGGGAGTGTGGCTGAGGGGAAGAAAGAGGCAGCAAAGGAAGAGTGAGGCGGCAGGGCAAGGGCCCAGGGTCCAGCTAGGGACCCGTGTGGAGCACTGCCTGGCCACCGTGAGATGACCTCGGTGCCTCCGCCTCTGGGCCTGGCCTGCCCGTGAGCCCTCGGCCAGTCTTGGTGGGAACCCAGAGCTTTGGCTCTGGGCAAGACCAAGTCCGCCCAGCCTGCCAGTCTGGCAAATACCCGCCATCCTCGAAGCCCACGTTCTAAACGCCCACTGAGTCCCTCACAGGGTCTGCCCACTTGCCTGACCTCACACACCGGCCTCTGGGACCCTTGCAGGGCTGTCTCCTGGGTTAAACCCTAATTCAGCCGCTCACTTCTGTATGCCTGTGGACAAGTCCCGCGCACTTCTCCAGAGTGAACTCCCTCAGACAGACGCAACATGGCTACTGGCAATATTATAAATCTCTCCTTTCTCTGTTCCAGCAGCCATCTATCCAAACCTCGATTGTAGGAACAACAGTGACTGAAACAGACCCGGTTCCTAGTATGGTACCAGACACCGCGCTTACCACACACACACTGATTTTAATGGCAAAATAGCAGCTGACATTTATCAGGCACTTACTATGTATCACGCATTCGTGTAAGAATCTTACATATGTGAAGTCATTTAATTTTCACAAGAAACATGAGCAGGAAGCTTCTCCTGTCATCCCTGTGTCGTGGAGGAGGACATGGAAGAGCAGGGGCTGAGGGACACGCCCGAGGGCACACAGACGCACTGGATGGGTGACGGGACCACAGCCAAGCCCAGGCAATCCGCTTCTCACATCACCTGGGGCAGCTGAGGCCTGGCGCATACAACTTGCCCGAAGCTACGAACTACAGCCAGTAAGCGACATAGCCAGGTACCAACCCTAGACGAGTGGTAGTTATTTCTTAATGTTTTCTTTATTAAATGGAGAATTTGTGGGCAGGGACTCCCATGTTTCTCATCTGTAAACCCAGCATGGAGCCTCACACATGGTAGGTGGCTGCAGATGTTGGCTGGTTCGCTGAACAGAATTCTAAAAGCAAAGACTGATACATTCTTAGCTTGCCTTGCTCAACTTTTTGTCTTTTAGAAGGAAAAAGCAGCAGATTCAGTGTCGTGCACATTTTATAGCTGGAAAGCATCTCGGAACTAATTTAATCTGATTCTCTTAGAAATTTAAAGTTAAAGCAAAAATAGTACCAAATCAAACCAAACACGGGCTCCAGGTGGTTAGTTAATGCTCTGTCATGGAGCTGGTGCTGCTGGGACGAGGACTGAGGAGTCCTTTCCACGACTGCAAGTTGCTTACTTCTGACCAAGAAAGAAAACAGAGAAAGGTCATGTGGGGCTGTGTGGAGAGGGCGACCACGTCTGGAGCTGACCTGAGGAAGGGCTTTCGGAGGGCACTGTCGAGAAGTGACCGAGGGAGGCAAACCAGGCCTATGAGGGAAAGAGGGGCCCGGAAGCCTACAGCAAGAGTCTAACAGGAGCACAGGGACAGGGGCTTTAGCAGGAAACGCTGCCTCAGGAGCTCCCAGAATCAACCTGACTCTGCAAAGCAAGTGGGAGCAGAGGGACGGGAAGAGAAGACATTTAAGGAAAATCACCCTGTTTCACACGGCTAAGCTTTAAAATATGATGAGCCTGGATTTTAAAAGGACATGTACACCAAACAGTGGAAGATTATGCAGCCATTAAAAAATCATGTTTTCAAAGACTATGTAATGATATGTGAAAATGGTCCTATATACTGTTAAGAGAAAATAGCGGACACACAGCTGTATGTACAATATCATTCCAATTTTGATTAAAAATTACATATATAAAGTTATGCATACACAGGAAAAAAGACTAGAAAAAACATCAAATTTCAATGGTAGCTATCTCTTAGTGATGAAATTATGGATTTTTTAGAAATGTATTGTCTCTTCCAAATATTTTATAGTGACCATATAATGCACTTACGATCAGATGCAAGTCCTATCTATCTATATCTGTATTTCATAAAGGACACAGGGCAGATGGAAGGAGCGATCACGAGCAAGAACATGGATAAGAAAGCAATGTGAGCCCACCAAGAGGACAAAGTCTCATCGGAGCAAGCAGAGACAACAAAAGGGCCTTGGTCA